GAAGCTCATTTCAAGTGTTGAACAATCCTCAAGCACAGCAAGGCTGCTCCTGTGGGTCATCCTTCTCTGTCAAACTTTGATGTGATGACAGATGACCCTGAGACTGCTACCAGTGGTACAAATTTGAGAAATCTGGGATTATTAGAATTCTAGAGGTTTCCCTCTAATCATGACCCTTGCTCAATTTTATTTCCCTCAATCTGGGAGTGTTGTGTTTTTAGTTGCCACTATTATTTTCAGAATGTGNGCCCGGGTCGGTGCGGCCCAGACGCCCGCTACCTCCGCCCATCTTGTCCGCTCAGGGGCCGGCCCGGCAGTGCCTCTCCGCCCCTCCCCACCCCTCGCCTCAGCGCTCCGCCCCGGCTTTATCGGTGCGTCCCCGCTGCTGCAGCCGGGAGCATTTCTAGCCAATCAAACCCCTTCTTCTCCTGAACTACCCAATAGACACGCTCGAGGGCTGGGTCTCAGTTGCGGTCCCGCCCTCCGGCTCATTCCCCGCGCCCCCTGAGGCCCAGGCGGAGGAGGGGAAACGAGCGGCGCTAGGGGCGGGGTTTGTGGAGGAAGATGGCGGCCGCCTGGGAGTTGTCCCTAACGGCTGCAGCGCTGAGAGCGGTAACGCTTTGGCCGAGGGGCAGGTACTAAGGCTGGAGAGGCACCTGGGAAGGGTGTTAGGTTCTGCGCCCTCAGGACGAATGGGAACTAAAGCCCGTGGGGGAGTAGAGGGTTTGCCGTGAGGCCGGGCAGATGTGGGGTCGCCAGGCTTGGCGTGAGGCTGTCCCGGTCGGGGTCGCGGGGCGCTCCTTGTGCTCCCGGTCTCATCTCCCTGCCTTGCGCGGTAGGCTCCTCTCGGCCTCCCAGGGACTTCAGGCGCGTCGGGAAACTTCGTCCTCCAGCCCCGAGGCTGGCGAAGGGCAGATCCGCCTCACGGATAGCTGCATCCAGGTAGGAGGCCGAACGCGGGGCGGCGGATCCCGGGCGGGCGCCGGGGACGCTGGGACCTCCCCTTGCCCGGCACTCTTGATCCCCCTTCCTACATTTCAGAGGCTTCTGGAAATCACCGAAGGGTCAGAATTCCTCAGGCTGCAGGTGGAGGGAGGTGGATGCTCCGGATTCCAATACAAATTTTCACTGGATACGGTTATCAACCCCGACGACAGGCAAGGAAGAAGGATTGGCTCGTTAGAGGATGTAGAGGAGGAATAAAAGTGTCTCCAGTTTAGGGTGCACTTTTCCCCACATTTAAAGGGTTTGCTAAGGATGGTTAACGCTGCCCTTCTCACACAGTGAGGATGCAATAAAAATTTGTTGTCTTAATTCGAAATAAATTATAGGAGGAAAATTGGCCTGCCTAGATCCATAAAGTGAGTCAGGTGGACCATATAAGTCCCTAAACATTTCCCAGTATTAATTCCATTGAATCTTTTTGCCTCATAGGAAATCAGCACCTGTTAGAGGTAATAAGGAATTCTAGCTCTGTACTTCAGAAAACAGGATGTGCACCTATGGGCTCAGAGGGTGTCATGTTTTTGGTGTTTGTGATATTCATTAATGCCTTCCTCCTTTCTTTTCAGGGTA